GCATGTAATTTGGTGTCCCCCAAAAACTCTATGTATGTTAGACCTGATTTTTATGCTTATACAGTACAAAGCCACCAATATTTTTCAACTACTGGGCATCAGTAACAACATTTCGGTGGATATTTCTAGAGAAAAACAGTAAAAACTATACTGCCTCTTCAAACATATTCAGTCAAATTTCAAACATGAACTTGCGTGAATCCCTGAGATTTGGTGCTCTTGCTGGAGCTAATTTCCGTACACGTTCTGCACACGATCTGCAGAGGCAGTCTGTCCAGAAGCCGTATGGACACCCGTGAGCATCCGTTTAATACTGACTGTAAATGAGGCATTGGATGTGATTGATTTGCTCAATGCAGAGTGACAAGCTGCTCAGGAATCTAGTCATAGTTTCACCAAACTGACCTTTGTTCTGTTCTGTCACATTGCATAGCCAGTTCACAGTTTCACACCTTGTGATTAAGTTGCTACTCTGGTGAACAAAACATGAATCCATCAATCTGTAGTGCTGCAGTACCTGTTGTGTCTTCAGTCAAAATTACCTCAATCCTTCCTATGGAATAAAAACTAAGATCTGAGGATAATTGGGCTGGACAGTGTGGACTTGTGTTCCACCACCAGACGAAGGTCACCAATTCACACAAAAGGTTTCTGCTAAATACGGGTAAGGAAGCAGATCTACGGGATCTTCTTGTATCCACTCAAAGTTTTGACAACCTCTGACTTAATTCAGCACCAAGCTCAGCTCATACCTTCTCTGTGCGGTAGCTGCTTAACCCTCCAGTCAGTGAGATGCCATATTTGATCATTTGTGCATGATTTAGGTTTGAATGGCTGAATATACTACAAACCTTTTTTAAAATAAAAGAATTCCTAAAAAGTGATATATAAACAACAACAAAAAAAGTAAAAAAAATTAAAAATTAAAAAGAAACATAAAACAGTGAGGGAGTAAAAACCTGCAAAGGAAAAGAATAAAAGAAATCTTTTGAAAGCTCCCAATAACATCCAAAGATTAAAGATATTTATTTAAAAAAATACTTCACTGAGTCCCTTTAAGTGGTAAAAAGAAGATAATTCACTAAGGCCAATGTGGATGAAAGTGTCTCATCCACAACTTGGTAGAAAACATCACAAACCTCCTGAAAACAGCAGCAGGAGAGGTCTAATTGAAGGATTAAACTTTGACCCTTACTGACCCCGACTAGACCCCCGCTCCTACCCCAGACAGTGCCAGGCGTAACCTCGTCAACAAACAGAGCTGATGGGCAGAAGCAGAACAAAACTAATTATAAACAAATACAAAAGGTCCTCGCTGTGCTTTCACTGCTTTGGTCAAATTAAAGGATTAATTTAATCCTTTACTCATGGAATGGAATTGAATTTTAAACCATTAACAACTTACTTTCAATTTATGAGAAATGTGTGAGATGCTGTATTTTTGTTCTGTTCTTTGCAGTCAGAACCGATGTTACAAAGGGCGTCACACATTAATAACGCTTCATCATAGCTGACTGTGTTGACCCCTTGAGAAGGGTGGTGGTGGTGGTGATGTGCAGCAGTTTGTCCAAAATAAAGATGTGTTTTTGTTTCTTTTACAAAACTAAAATCATGGATTTGATAAACCAGCATGTGCAGTGATGAGGAGGAATGTGCCAGGTGAGGGGAAAAGAAGCCAAGTACCAGATAGAACGCCTCAAAATAATCTGATAAAAATAGCAAGTTAAAAAAAAAAAACCAGGCCGAGTGCAATTGCACAACACCACATCTATTTTGCTCTCTACTAGAAACAGAAAGGCTTTCATAAAATTCTGAAATTGTAGTTATAATAAAACTGTCGGGAGTTTGGTTTCAGCTACCCTGGATGTAAGTATGTCTTTTACAGAAGCCCAAAACAAACCTTTAGATAAACCAGCAGAAAGGGAATAGAAAAGGAAAGATGGCATGAAAGTTGTTTATATTGTGTTTGAGAGATTTTTTAACAAGGTTAGGGTCCCTCATTCTCCTCCATCTATTCATGCAGTCTTCACCTCCAAACCCACGTTTCCCATAGTTTCTCCACACAGATAAAGTCTTCTGTATATCTTTGTTCTCTTTCAGGCATGGCTGAACATACTTTCATTCCACGAGGCACTCTTCGATCTGATACGTGTCTGTCACTAGATTTCTTTGGCTATCTTTTTATTTTTTGAGGGTGAGATGGTGGTGCTGTTGATGAAGCTAAAGGAAGCAGAATCCTGACCAATCACAGGCTTGTGTTCTCTGTTGCTTTTGATGGATAGTTAGATAATTACCCCGTCCATCCTTGCGAGCCTGCTGGAGGGCACTAGCTACCACGGATAATGGCATTTTGTGTTTTCGTATCTCCGCAGACGGAGAGGTAAAAATTAGTCTTAACCCTAACCATAACAATACTGGTCTATTCCTAACCTTAACCCTAAGTTAATTACCTTTAAAACCTAGTCTTTGGAGGTTTTCACTGAGGGAAACAGCGTAATTTCAAACACACACACACACACACATTCATTGAGCGTCCAGGATTATGTGTTGAGGTGTCCCAGCTCCAGTCCTTGAGGACCACCATCCTCCAAGCTTTAGCTGTTTCTTTCCACCGTACCTAATTTTGCTTTTCTGTCGTGCTCCTTGCTGGACTCACGAGATCACAAAATCCCTCATGTTTATGCCGTCCGCCAGTAAACCAAAATGAAATCACGTTTTATGTCTGATGTGATATATGACGTTGTCCCTCTCCACTTCCAGGATTAAAGCCATGAAAAACACACCGCTGCACTTCTGGAATAATACTGGGAGTAAATAAGCTGTTAAGTCACTTGTATTGATGTAATCTACATAGACATGAAATTGCATTGCTGCAATAGACCCTTTTACTACCTACGTCATCACAAGTTGCACGCAGCCTGGCAACGAGAGTGAAGGCTTCCTCATTCACACTCGATACTAAAACAGCGTTTTAAACCCTTTGTTTTGAAGTTCTGAGCACATAAAAATGTCGGGTTGTTGCGTGTATGGATGCCAGAATCGCTTCTCTTCAAGCAGTGGACTGAAACTTTACAGAATTCCGAAGGGAGCACATCCATTTCCACAAAATCGGAGGCGTCTGTGGCTGCAGGCCATCAAAAGGGTTGATGAAAACGACTGAAAACACGATCCGAAATGCTCGAGTTTGTAGCGCCCATTGTATATCAGGTAAGGTAATTATGTACTAAGATTACATATAAATTTGTACACTTTATTTCATGCTTCAAATTAACATTTCATTCTAATTCATCTGTATTTTCCCACTGCATATTAGTATAAACTGTATTTAAAATTAACACCATTGTACTCTGAGCACGCTAAAAAAAGAAACCTATGCTATACTCATCCTGCCATGCAGGTACAGTAGGCTGTGAAGACGTAGTTCTCTGGTTTGTTTACTATGACCCAAGCCTCGTACATAGCACTCTTGTGTCCTCGTCTTTGGCTAGGAAGGACTTCTGCCTTCAAGACTCAAAACTCAGAGTCTATGTGGTGATATTTTACTTTCTGTACGTGGCCACAGACAACATAGTTGTCTGCATCTAACGACTTGTACGCCCGTAGCTTCTCACGTGTGTACTTACTGGGCCTCTCCACTAAAATCGTATATATATCGGGCCACAGGATATCTGGCCACGCACCTACATCTTCCACCCATTCCGTAATGCCACAGGGATCCGGGAGTCTGTTGCCATTCGTTAAAGTGAGTTTAATAATATAACATTCAAGATTTGCCGGTGATAACCCCGCAGCGTAGCTTGATAAAGCCTGACACAACGCCATTCTGTTGCCAAGCTGCGCGCGCATTCTCGCTGACGTCATATTGTTTACAAACAGTAAAAGGGTCTATAGACTTTAATTTTGAAAATAAGCAGGAGTTTTAAACTGAAACCATGTGTGATTTCCTGTCTAGTCCTATGTTAACTGCAAAAATTGTCGTGTCCCAGAAGCGGCTCACGGCAAAAGTAGAACCCGATCCCAGCTTTAGCAGTGTGCTGCTTCAGGGACGCGTCTGAAAAAGTCTGCGTCACAGCTGGTTTGAACCACCCCCATACACTATAATGGATTCTAATTTGAAGAAGTGATGTTTAACCGCCGTTCCGTGCTGCTGATGCTTCCAGTGTGAAGAAGGGGTAATAGATTTCTGAAGAACTCAATGAGGTGTGACAATGATTGAATCGTTGGATTCAGGAAACATGGAGAACCTTCAGGATAGAAGCCGTGGATGAGAGCAGCTGGTGACTCCTGCATCAGAGGAAAGCAGACAGCCCATATTCCTCTTCCAACCTCTTATCTGGTAGCTATTTCTGTTTCTGGAGTTCTTTTTTTGTCGTATTTGACAGAAAGTGTCACTCTAAAATAAAAGCTATGGTATCACCCGTTACAACACTGTGAATGGAATTAAAAAGAGTTTACCATTTCAGATTCAAAAGGAACTTTATTATTTTCTGGACCACGTTTGTGCTGCCAGTAACGCAGCAGCAGCAGATAGTCGTCAGAAACCTCAGTAAGAGATAAGTTATCATGGGGCTGTTAAACAAACGGTGAGTCACAGCAGGAACCACTGAAGAGTGAATTTCCACCAACTAGAAAAAGATCCTCCAAACTCGTCTGAGATTGAGCCAAACATTGCTCTACCTTGTCAGTTTTGCATGAGACAGATGTTTACTTTTTTCAACTGGAAAATGTTTTTGCTGCTCTACAAACTCCCCATCACTGCAGTTCTGCTGCTGCAAAACTGAAAAGGTAGTTAATATCTCTAAAATAAACGTTTTATCTCCATATAGTCTTCCTTAAACATTTTTTTCTTAACTCCAAAGTAAAATGCATGTTATCTTTGCTTCGGGAATTCACTTGTTTGTTTGTTTGTTTGTTTGGAACATATGGCACATTCATTTCTACATAGTTTAGTTATATCAGCTGTAGTTTGGGCAGAGAAATGCTCTGCTGTGGTGTTTTACCTGGGGGCTGGGTGGTGGGCATCCTGACTGGAGTGGCGGAGGAGGGCAGCAGGAAAGAAAACCAAAGTGAGAGCCACAGAATCGTCATTCCTCCTCTCCTGGACAAAGAGGCAAGATGAAGAGCACTGAGGCCCAACTCCAAGTCAGACACCATCCTCCTTCTGCATGCTGTCCAGCAGAATGACAGCAGCAGCTGCCACAAAGACACAACAGCAGCAACACGTCCCCAGGAGATGGCCTGAAATAGAGAAAAATACAAGAAAAAAATCATGTTCAGGTAAAATTCAAGTTTATTTATAAAGCGCCAAATCACGACAAGAGTCGTCTCAAGGCACTTCACATAATAAACATTCCAATTCACAGTTCATTAAGCCAATCAGTAATAAAGTTTCCTATATAAGGAACCCAGCAGGTTGCATCGAGTCACTGACTAGTGTCAGTGACTATACAGCAATCCTCATACTAAGCAAGCATGCAGCGACAGTGGAGAGGAAAACTCCCTTTTAACAGGAAGAAACCTCCAGAGAATCCTGGCTCAGTATAAGCAGCCATCCTCCACGACTCACTGGGGATGGAGAAGACAGAGCAGACACACACACACACACACACACACACACACACACACACACACACACACGAAAAGAAAGCAGAAAAGACTGAACTCTTCACACCTCATCCACAGCAAGGATTACATAATGCTTCATGGCTGAGTTTTCTCTGTAGTTTCATTTGTTCTGATGGTTTTTGGAGCCGACTGTACCTGGTGCCGCTCTAGCTCAGCTCCAAATGATACTGACTGGCACCAGGAGGCATGAACGCATCACACCAATTTTGGCTCATCTGCATTGGCTTCTGGTCTCTTTAAGAGTCAGGTTTAAGGTACTCATGTTTGTTTTCCAGTCACTACAGGGCCGTGCACCATCATACCTCTCTGATTTAACCACCCTGCACACTCCATCACGTGCTTTGAGGTTTTGTTTTTTGTTTATTCATTTAGCAGACACTTTTATCCAAAGCGACTTACAATTTATAACCTATAGGGCATGTTGTGATCTGTGGGGGAAACCGGAGTACCCGGAGGAAACCCACGCATGCATGGGGAGAACACGCAACTCCACGCAGAAAGGCCGCAGCCGAGTTTCGAACCTGCAACCTTTGTGCTGCGAGGCAACAGTGCTAACCACTGCGCCACCATGCAGCCCAACTTAGTAGTAAACCTGTGTAGAAAATGTCACAAATTCCTACATTCAAACAGCAGCTTCTTCAGCGTGAGTCCTACTTAGAGCAGTCCCTCTGTGTCCATATCAGCCAATGACCCATGTACCAGGTCTTATGAGCACACAGACTTTCAGAGTAAAATACTTAATGAAAAGCTTTGTGCACAAAATTCTGAGTCATAGCATCACTTCTTTGAAGCTATCAATAAACGCTGCAACGGCAGCGCTAATCAAGGAGAGCTGTTGTTACAGAACTAAGTAACCTGTCATCTCTCCCACAGGACTTGTTTCTGCATGGTCTGGCGCTTAATTGATGAAAGTTTGCTGCTTCCCAAGAATCAAGCAGAGAAAAAAAAACTGGTTTAGCATAAGTGAGTTAATGTGGCAACAAGAGGGAGTGGAGCTGTGTTTGCCTGAGTGGGGGGAAGCTGGAAAGCAATGACAAGCTTGAGAGAAGTGTCCCAAAACAGCAAAACACACACACACACACACACACACACACACACACACACACACACACACTTGTTTTTGTATTCTTGTGAGGACCTCCATTGACTTCTACTCATTTTAGGAATTCCACTACGCCTTAACCTTACCCTAGCCCTAACAATAACCATTGGTGTTCTTTTCCTAACCCAAAACCAAAAGTTAACGGTGCATTATGTGGAAATGGAGTAAAAATTACATCCTAGGGAAGAGCCGGATACTCGGTACAGCTAAAGCATTTTTGACGAATACGAGCATGAAACGAGTTAAACTCGTAAATATCTGTAATCGTGCTGAAGGAAAATCCTCATTGGGTAACTGACTGTCTTCATGTTTTGTGATTGGCCAGTCACATAGAGTAGCCGCCCCTCCCTACACACAAAACTCTGCAGCCAGGAGCTCAGTCCGCATTAGTGATGGGATTTATGGCTCTTTCATGGGAGCCGTTCATTAGTCGGTTGTTTACCTCAAAGAGCCAAAAAGACTGGCTCCTCTGAACGAAGTGAAGCCAACATAGGGGGTGGGGGGGTGGGGGTGGGTGGGGGGGTATTAAGAGCAACGTCTTCCTGTGGTGTCTGTGAGGGTGCACAGGGTTGGTTAGCGTTCCTCCCAAGATATGTATATAAACACGTGTTTCTATGGTTCCTCCGACGTCCGTCACAGCGGTGGGTGGGGTTTGAGCGGGTGAGTTTGTCCGACTTCCGCGAAGGTTTGTTAAGATGAACGGCTCTCTACAGGGACTCTGCTCTTATCATTCACTTTGAAAACCTGTTCAAAAGATTCGATTCGTTCGTGTCCGCGTCCAGCCCATCCACGCACACACACACACACACACACACACACACACAGTAACAGATCTCTCTGTGCTTGCTTCACGTCTCTTCAGTGCTCCCTAGGTTTTCCTCAGCTCGCCTCTTTTTAAAGTTACCTTAAAGTTATTTCAAGTCACTTTTTTCGTAACGTACGTGGTGCATTTGACAAGACAGAGCTGAAAACGGCTCCTGCTGTCAGTCACTGCCTCTGCTCGGGTTTTTTCCTCTCTCTCCTCTTCCTCAGATCCACTGATTTCCCTCTTTCCTATTCACTCTCTCTTTCTTTACATTTTTTTTATCACAATTGTCCATTTTTTGCTAATTTTAAATATATTTTTATCATTTTCTAAATTCTTTTTTATATTCTTTGTTTTTGTGAAGCGCCTCGTGATTTTTATCTTGAGAGGCGCTATAGAAAAGATCTTTTCTTCTCTCTCTCTCTCTCCCTCTCTCTCTCGCACTTAAATATTAATGTTCTGATTTTATAGAAACACTTATTCTGTAATAGTTCTTTTACTATTGTGATCAAAAACATTTAATCTCAACTCTGACGCTGCTCTGTAAATAGTTTTCAAATTAACACACATAGCAACTTCTGATCAATCCATATCAATTTCAGATTTAAAATAATGTATTGATGTAAACCACACCCACTTCCAGTTAAACTACACCCACTTCCGGGTTAGGCCACGCCCACTTCAAGTACAGATACAGATATTGATGTACTTGCTCATCCCTATTACATCCTGTAGTACATTTGGTTACTGCAACTATTTTAACCCTCCCACTGTCTTTATGGGTGACCCTGCGAGGAAAGTTGACCATTGAGCAGGATTGATGGTTTATCCCTTGAGGTCCACGTGGCAGGAGTACCACCTCACCCCTGCCATGTGGACCTCAAGGGATAAACCATCAATCCTGCTCAATGGTCAACTTTCCTCGTGAGTTCACACCCTCTATGACAGTGGGAGGGTTAAACATCTCTGGAGCTTTTTGCCGGCCGTCGTCAAATTACTAAACACAGGAGACATGGCAACACTCACTGATGGTAAACAATGAAAAAGAGGAGAAAAACTGACCATCCTTGCAGCCAGCTGGATTTGAAATATGCTTCAGTATAACATTCCTTCCAAAATGACTGAACCATTAGGATATTCTCACTGTAAAATTCTCTCTATATTCTTACATACTGCAGCTTTAATTTTTTTAACACCATTCCTCTAAAACCATGTTTAAGGGTATTTTGTCATTGTGTGGACCAGCCAATTGTCCCCACAATGTGGAAATATACACACACTACAGGTACACACGCACACACACACACGCACACACACACACACACACGCACACACACACACACACACGCACACACACACACACACACACACACACACACACACACACAAAGCTGTGTCCTTTTTAACAGTGCTGCTTTTCTTTTCTTTGGAGGACCTCTGACACATTCCTTGCTCAGCACAAACTGAGCTCTTATTTGCACAGAAAATACCTACTGAGGCCACTTAGCAAGACACACACACACACACACACACACACACACACACACACACACACACACACACACACACACACACACACAATTGTAATCTAAACATTGCACCTTTCTAGCTTCAGAGTGCCATATCTTATAATGTCTTCAATGTGTTTGACAGAACCTTCTCTCTGAACACATCCTCGGTATCTTCCAACACAACACTTCCATGCTGTTGCGGTTTACACAGCACACTCCAGGCAATGATAGCAGGCTGTGCAAAAGTGCAACCTCCGTTTACTCTGACAGGCACCAAAACATACGCATATAGCAGAGTTGCGTCTTGTCAGTTTGCAGATCTGTTTAGACAAGTTGCATGACAGCCTCTCAAAGCCTGAGAGCAGAAACTTGGAAACAACAACGGCGGTAAGTGACTGATCTAGTATCGTATGGCCCATGTTGCGAAATAACAGGTAGCATTACGGCAGCAGCTATGTTCAACCTGTTTGTACTGAAAGGTACGGTTAGGATTGTTTCTAAAATGTAATATCAAGACTCAGAGTTAACTGTAACTGTGATGACTCTATTTCACTAACTAACCTCAGTTGAACGGATTCAAAAAGTGTTTTAGTGCTAATAACAGCATGAAAAGGAAAATGACCTGCTTAATAAAACATGAACATTAATCATGTATAACTATTTTCACAGAGGTAAAGCTCAGAGGCAGAAACGGGTTCTAAGTGCTCCAATCCCTGTCATCCTCCTCCTCCTCCTCATCCTTAGTGAGGATCAATCCAGGCACCGATCACATGCTGGTCACAAGTCTCCGAAGTGTCACTAGGATAGGATTTCACAATTAAGCTGAAGGACAGCTATGGCTCAACTCACTTCTTTATTTTAGGGGGAAGGGGATTCAAAGTTTTGTTGAGAGGCAGAGCAGTAGCCAATCAGATGAGAGAACAGCTAGGAGTCAGAATTAGCCTCACACATAGTGAGCCATCTTCCATTCCAGCTTTGATCAGAATCTTTTCATCCTTAAATGCTCTCATCTTTCCCTCCTCCATCACACTTAGCCCCTCTCCTCTCGCTGCGCCTTCAGATGGGAGATGAGCAGCAGGGACACGGGGTCGGATCAGTCTGGTTCATCTGGCGTGAATGTGGCTCTGTGGTTCCATATATGACGTCAATATTCACATCTTCCTTTAGGTGATGTGTGCTAACGCGCATTAGGCTCACTAAATCACGCCATCAGGAGCAGGAGTGGGATCACCATCCAGCTGGTCTGGAACACGTCACTGGAACAGGGATGCTATGTTAACGCTCATAAAAAGTAGTTTTTATTCATGAGCAACAAAGTGAAAGGCAGCTTAAACGCATGTGATCATCAAACATTCGCTCGATGGGCGCGTGAGAGGTTTGATTCCACCCACCGCACCGACCAGCCCCTGCCGCCCCGTGTCTCTACGGAATCGGGCGGCTTCTGGGAAATTCGCTTGGATCACGGTTGGAGTTTGGGAGAGATGAAAATAATTCAGGAGCTATCCAACAAAGGCTCTGTTATCGAAATAAGAGGGGCCCGATCACCTTCGTGCCCTTCAAAAAGCTGCTTTATCATTTCTAATGATGTGCGTAAATAAGCGAATGTGAGCTAATATGTTCGCACACTGCGCAACGCGCATGTAGGCAGCAGTGACCACGCCAGGCGAACTAAAAGGACCAACTGACTCAGTTCTTTGTAGTCTGACTCCGGAGAGAACGCGCCAATTACGCACGGACCCAAAGAGCCGCTGTGGCACCAGCGAGGTTTTAAACAGAGATGCGTTCTCTAACGGCGAGACGCTGATGGGTCGAGCCTGTCAGACTAAAAGGAAGAGGAATTCACTTTCTGTCTGCGTAATACTACTACTACTACTACTACTACTAATAATAATAATAATAATAGTACAAGTAGTAGTAGTAGCAGTAGCAGGAGTAGTAACACTTTACCTGAAATATTCAGTTACAGTAGAAGCACAGACATCTGATTAGAGAAAAATGAGGTGATTAAATTAGAATAGACCAGGAGTCCAAGAAAAAAAAAGTGGGACCAAAATCCAAAAGCTTCTTAAAATACTTCCGTCCAGTCCCTTTCAGGGCAGCTGTGTGGAAAACAAAATAGTCCAAAAACCTCCCGAGTCAAAATAAGCTGCGTACTGGACTCCGCATATGAGAAAGACAAACTTGTCCTTACTGGATCCAGATCTGCACTACAGGCTGCCACCAGCTTCAAAGTGTCCAAATGTCCACACAGCGCTCATCTCGTCCTCAAGGGGAGCGGTGTGGACGGCCCGGTTCGGGTGAAGGCGGTCCGGGAGCCACTCGCTGTCACAGATCTACCGACTCTGGCTGCTGAAAAGCCAAACCTGGTTAGCGCACTACAGACACACTTCCGCCCTTTCAGAATAAAACCAGTGGCATTGAGCCAATTGTGCACACATTTGTTATACCGCTATGTGTTTTTATGTATAAATGTATTTGTTTATTTTGCCATGTAGAATTGTATTTTCTACAGCCCAAGAAACAGGGCCGCCAGCAGCTTCGTTTTAAAGCTGCTATAGCAAATTTGGAAAATAAGTTGGCTTAAAACTTTTCTATGCATTTTAACAACATTCTAACATAGTATAGCTATAAAAATATTATGAAGATAAAAAATGAAACAAAGAAAATATTAAGTGGTTCTCTTGCATTTGTCTAAAAGCCCCAGCCAATGCATGTTCAGACCAAAAGCAACCATTGGCCCATCCGGTTGTCTGTCTCGCTGAACCACCACACTTCTCTGGGTCCTTCATTCATTACACACTTTTACACCACTGGTGTGAGGTTCTCCACTTAATAATATCACAGAAGAAGAAACAGCCAGCTGCTACCAATTCAACTTTAGGACAAACAGAGTCCCAAAAAAGAAAAACATCCAACGTCCCAGACAACAAAAGATGTTTGGACCTAAATAAATGGTGACTGATGTTTAATGCTCTCTCGTTTCCTCTGTCAATGTGGGTTTCCGGTTCCAGTGGACATGAAACCGGTGAGGATACCCGAGGGGAGGGGTGAGTGTTCCTTGCACAGACACGTTGGACTGGCTATTGGAGCTGAAGTAGCAGCAGGCTACCATCTTGGATGGGTTCCCATTCGCCCCAAGTGCATTTCTTTCTACTGAGGAAGCTTCAAACAGCACTAAATACTGTCCTCCAACTAGAAAAACATGTTTATGCTTTTTCACAAAATCAGACATATGGTCTGGCATGACAGGGTTTTTTTTGTTGTTTTTTTTTATATATATATTTTTCATTACAAACTCCAAATGTCATAGCTTAATCCAAGCACGTTGACCATGTACATAGGAAAAACAAAGAGAAATACAAAACATAGAGTCCTTCAGTCATTTGGAAATACCTTGCAGTATGAGAGATGCTGAAACAATCCCGATGTGCTTTGGGCAGGGGTCCTACGTTGAGTAGAAATTGTCCAGTGCAGTCCCAAGCATGTACATAATATTTTTCTTTGAACATCTTAGGTGTGTTCTTGCTGTGTCGTATCTCTAATTCCATGCTGTAGTTCTTTTTTAAAACACCGAGCAGTTTTGTTTACCTGTTTTCCCGCTACGTCAGCCTGAGGAAGTTTGCAGCCGCAAACGAAACGTAGCGGGAAAACAGGTAAACAAAACTGCTCGGTGTTTTAAAAAAGAACTACAGCATGGAATGTACATAATATATTCGTTGGGAATACACTCCTGTATCACAATATGCCAGGACTTTAATGAGGGTGTAGATTCCTTGATTCAAAAAAGCAAAATATTCTTTCTGGCAGCAAAGGACAAAAGGTTATATAATTGTTTATAGTTGGGCTTTATTTCAGGATCTGGGAGAACCAGGAGGAGACATTTTGGAATAAACTGTATCGAGGTGTTAAAAGTGTGACGTAGGTCTTTCAGCACACCATACAAATAGTTCTGTATATTTAGACACAGGGCTTAATTTGAGCCGGATCTTGCCAGAACAAGATCCGGGAACTATTTAATTTTGAAAGGACCGTTCCGGCAACTGTCTGCTTGGATCCGGCAACTGAACTCACGCGACCAACTTGTGCGATACACAGGTTTCAAATTACAGGTGAGCTAAAGAGAGCTCCTGGAAGCCCTCAACTTACGCACCCAGGGGGAGCCCAACAAAGATCCTGGTTCTACTTATATTACATTATTCATGTGGACCCTCCGGGGATTATTTTGAGCTGAGAGGCGCAGAGCTCTGATTGCTGACTCGCTCCAGACAGATGCGTCCTGAGCACGGCCACAGTAAAATAATCAAAGTTTCGCCACCTCAAAAACAAAGTTAACACACGATCGTTCATGTCGTCTCATAACCTTTCATGTTTTCTGTCTTTTATTTGTGCCTGATACATTTCGCTGCTGTGGAGCGGAGCGCATCACCTGTTTCGTCCTCCGGTGACTTCACCTCACTGGTGCGGCCGCCAAGCAGCGCGCACTCCACTTTATTTGCGGTTGGTAGATCTTTTAGAACTGCAGTTCAAAGGTAATTCATGAGGTGAAAATATATGAAGCCCGGTAGCAGTTATTCTGTAGAACTGAGACGAGATGCAGGCAGATAATAAACAGACAGGACAGAATATGGATGCTGGCCCTGTTCTGGTAACAGAAATCCCAAATTAAAAATGTCATGGTTTTGGGGTGCCCACCCCAATGTCACTTTTCTAATCTGTTTGATTTATCATGGCTATATTGTTACAGAAAACACCACAAAAAATGTCTCATTGTGCCAGGTCCCTTTTCTAAATGTCTTCGTTAGTTTTTTGTTCAGAATATTATAGAACATTCTCTATTAAATATAAAATTACAATATTAGTCATGCATTTGAGAATCTTACTCATCATCACTTTCTTCCTAGTCATTATCTTCTCTCATGACAAGATTGGCTGTCCTCCTCCATTTTCGATAATTATTATTTCCATTACTAGAAACCACAAAAATAATTAATATTATAATTGTTATAAATGTAACCATCATTATGAAGGTTGTGTCTAAAAAAACAAATGTCATCTAAAAATATACATGCATGTGTTTATTTGTTCAGGGCACATGATCAAATATGGCAGCTTGGATTTCATGCTGTGATTTCACCAACTTTATTGAATTTGACATAAACAACACATATTTCCTTATTTTGAATTTTTATGCTCGTGATTGCCCCCTCAGGCCAAAAACGTAACGGCAGCTTCAATAGTTGGCTCGTGCACGAGGCGCGCATGCTGTACGTGCACACTCCTTAACGAAAATAACAGCTGAGAAAGTCCCGTGTGTGTGTGTGTGTGTGTGTGTGTGTGTGTGTGTGTGTGTGTGTGTGTGTGTGTGTGTGTGTGGCCTGGAGGACAGAGGACAGGAGTACGCACAGCTAATTTATTAAATAATTTGGTTCTGTAGCTTTCTCTTCAGCACAGCCGACAAAGGTTTATGATAAGTCAGTCCTCCTGCATGCTCAGATCATCCTTGCTTGAAAAATTGTTCCAAAATGAAAGTTGAACCCACATCTTTTTTATCTGTGAATTCAATGCCGTTCGGCGAGTCTCAAATAAAAATGTGGGCATCTTACTGTAAAAAAATATACCATTAATGTAAAAAAAATAAACTCTAACTAAACCATATTCACATCCAGAATCAAACCCAGGTCTTCTGCACAAGAGCCCGACGTCTTACTAGGTGAGCTAAAGCGCCAGTGATGTATTTTGTATCTGTAACTTTTATATCCTTGATGACAGCTGAAACAACGTTCAAAGAACGGTTCTGAGCGAAAATAGCTATTTTTTTGCTAATTTGCAGGAAATATCTAGAAGAAAGTAGCTAAGGGTCCTCAGAAATGTAGCTAGCTTTGTCACTAGGCGTTAGGAACAACGACAAAGTCGCTGAGTTGGCACTGCCTCTCTCTCTGCTGCTAAAGCTATGGATAGCAAATGCTACGGGCTATGCCTGAGCGTGAACGCGCATGAAGCAGCCTGCTCGACCCGAGCAGCTCTCTTTTTCTGTGATTTTACAGAAAAACAGGCAATCACAGTAAAAATGCCAGTGCTCATTCTACAGGACCAGGGCATTGCAGGAGAACGTATGAAGAAGATATTTATTATTTCTATACATGTTTTGGCTGTCATACTTCCACAATGCCCCTTTAACACAACTAGTCAACTATGTGATGTGAGAGTTTCATTAACTTGCAATATTAGTTTTGGAGATCTGACAGAAGTTTTCCGATTCTGCAGACACTCCTCACTGATTGGTAGAATGGTTCCATGGCATAAACTGTTACAAATATGGTCTCTGAAGAGTGGTTGGGTGAAATCCTGAGATTCTAAGAGCTCACAAATGGCACACTGACATCATTTATGATTTGAATGGAAGTGTAAATATATAGACGCAGGCCTCTGGACTGTCACCAGGTCACTCAACTCACCAGCTTCAAACAGCACTAATTACAGTCATCTCATAAAACTGTGTTCAAACAAGGCAACCTTATGACACCATAAAGTGGATCAGCCTTAAGTGACTGTTAGCACACTCAGATGTGTGTCGTTGACATGTTGATCCAGGAGTGATTAAAAGCAATCTGTCAACACATCACAACCAAACGAGCACAACACTCAATTCACCTAATAGACCAAGACAAATCCAGCTGTTTTATTCTTTCAGATATTTTAATGCCAACATCTGCAGTCTGTTCAATGTATTTAATATGTAGACAACACAAAAAGCGGTCTGTATATGCTTTCACTAACTTAAAGATGTGCCCAACCCCCCAAGCAAATTCTGGCTTTGCTGTCATTGCTAATGTGCCTGAATAAAAGCCACAAAAGAACAAGTTACCTCAGAGAAAATGATCAGACAAGCAGGACATCTTGTAGTGTTCTGTACATGTCAGGGTAATAATATACCTTTTTTTTTCTAAACAAGATCTAGATATGAAACTTTTATAATGTTTTTGAATGGAACAAATAACACACCGCCCAACCTTGCACCAGACCTCTTCCAACAATCCAACACCAGGTCCAGCTCCCATTTCTGTTTTAAAACATCCAGACTGGTCCAATGGTGTGAGCCAAGCCAGGTGTAAAGTTTACCCAAAGCTTTCTTAGTAGAAGTTCGAGTCTATCGATGAGAGTTTGAGACGGGCACAGAGGAAGACATTCAGAGTTAGATTTGACAGTGGCTGTGCTGGGTCATTGGCTGTGTTCGAGATGAGCCAGTTCTGCGCAGATTCGATCACCGGTGATCGGCGAGTAGTGCATGCCGGTTAGATTTGTGTCCGACTTGACGCCGACTTGCTCTGACGTCATGCATACGTAGGCAACGATAACCTCGTGA